TGGTGACTTTCATTTTGTTTCTGTCAAGTGTTGTTAATGGAGTCTGGCGCCTTTAAACAGTATAATAGCTGTTTTGGTTAAACAAAAAGGTCTCTGTGGGGATCCTTTACATAATGTTGTAAGACACTTAGAATAACAATTTGAACTTATGAGTGACATAAACAAGCACTTGCACAAGCACAACCAGTGGACATACGTTGACAGTGTGCAGTTGCCCATAAGGATTACGTTGCAGCCAGTTTTGTGGCTGCATCACTCTCGCTTAATACTGGACCAATTTTAAAAAGTGTTGTCCTCATTCGTCAGTTAGACACAAAAACCTAACCCTGTAAAGTTACATTGAGGAGGATGATGAACACTTGAGCGACCTCAAACACAGATGAATAAACTTGGTGTCAGTGAATCAAGGTTCCAGGAACAAATAAAATGTTATTATCAGGCATTATGTTCCACCCCTCCTGAATGCTGTTTCACTTCATTATTATTATTATTTATTATTATTATATACGCTGTCATTGAGTTTGTCTGTTGCATGTTAGTCTTTTTCTTATCACTGCTGCACTCCCTGGCCATAAAAGTGCAGACATACTGTTTTTGATCGTATCAAGGTCAGCTCAGCCGATGTGGAGGGGAACTTATTTTCTAGCAAGAGTGGAAAGGAAATGGAAGGTACAGCAAATCAGAACAATTTCTCTGATTGCTTCTCTTGTAAAAGTGGTCAAGGCTTTTAAGTGTGTACAATAACTTTAACTGACTGTCTCTGTACATCTGTGATAAAAAGTAACTCACTACAGTTACTCAAGCACTGTGCTGTTTCAATTTAGAGGTATTTTTCTTCCATATTAATATTGTTTTTACTCCACTATATTAAATGATGACTATTAGTTATTATTTACTTTGTTGATTAACATTTTATATACAAAACGTATACTGTACCACTCTGAAAGGGTCATTCTGCTTAATGAACACTTTTACTTTTAATACTTATGGGACTGGGGCAACAATGGGACCCTACTAAACCCTCAAGACCCTGATGTTCTCTCTGTGCACTGTGCATGCATTGTCACCTTAAGTTAACACAAACACATTTATAAGAATATGCACCATGTTAGCAGAATATGAAATTGAACAATTAGGGTATTTAATGTAAGGTAAATAAATTATTAATGTTAAATACAATGCCCTACTGAAGTAAATTTTTAATGATAAGACTTCCACACTTTTAACAACACAATTCAGTATTTTAGTTTCTTTTAACAAATAATATGAAAACACTAAAATCAACATTGTGTTACCCTAAATTCCACCGGGCATAGCTTTATATCTGTTTGGCTCAAAACCTAAAGGGATCGTTTCAGATCTGGAGCATCTTCAGAGCATGTTGCC